TCACACATATTGACCCCATACAATCATCCACCGCCCATCCTAACACAAATCCCTCAATAATCACCGCACTCGCCCCTTACATCCCCCAACCCCTCCATCCTCGAAACACAACTACCCTCCCCACTCAGTGAAGGAACAACTTTTTAAGTAAATAGATAATACCAATAGCTTTCCATCCCCAGCCAACCAGTGCGTTAGTAATTGTGAAATTAAAATCTTTTGTAAACGAAGTGGATGGTCCACTTGAACAATACAATTCGAGTGTACCATCTTCAAAATCATGTTGAAACAAACGGTCCATATTGCGAAGAAAGAAGTAAAAAATACACATCCAAATTAATCCAAATTAAATTAATTAATCCTAAATTAAAAGGAAATCATGAATTTGTGGAAAAGCCTATCAGAAAAAGGAGCAACTGCCCCCTCACCAACAGGAAAACCTTAGCATGACTCGTCAACAGGCGCAACAGCAAGATCGCATCAAAATGCTCACTAGAGTTTCGAGTTCGAGGAACGGGGATGGCAAGCAACAGTAAATTCAGTCCTAGGTGTGCTGGAGTTTAAGGTGGTACCAAGGGTAACAACAAACATGTAAAATAAGGGGGAGGAAAACCCAACAAGGGTTCAGGGCTCAAACGAAGTTCGTAGCAAGTGAAGGAAAACCCAACAAGGGTTAAGGTCGAAAAGCCGTACAGGAAAAGACCCTACCCGCCCTAAGTGAAGGGGGCCTTGGCAAATTGATGCCGGCGCTAAGTGACGGCTGGCCCCGGCGAACCGATAGGCGCAGCTCACCAGTTAGTTGTAGAGACGGGGTTTGCACGTGCTGACCTAGCAGGCCCTCGGCGACCTCTATACTGTTGTCACAGTGCTGAATTGGGAGGCTGCATCCTGGCTCCACGCAGTCCTAGTAGGCAGTTTGACACTGTGCATTGCGGCAGCGGTGCTTCGGCAGAGGCTGGGTGCAGCGCCCGTGCAAGAAAGAGAACTTCAAGCTGCTTTGGGCACCAGCCATAGCTGGCTGGGCACTGGACTGCTATGTGCTGAAGTGTGGAGATCAAAAGAATGAAGGCAGTGGGGACCGGCAGTACTTACCTGCTGTTGGTGCACCTGCTGTTGGTGCACAAAGACACTGTGATCGGAGTCTTCAAATAGCATGGAGCGATTGACATGAGGACAGATAGCTGGCATGAACATAGGCTAGTCTCATAGGAGCTTGGAAGCAGAAAAGGGGCTAATCGCGTTATTGTTGTTTTGATGACCGGAGGTGGAGGAACGCCATTCTTTATCTCGAGTCTTCGCTGTATTGTTCACTCCTATATGGTGTGTGCATTTCGCTTTGGTCTCTGTTTTTTCAACTCCGCTCAATAACTGGGGGAGTAAGACTCTGGGTTGGTGGATGCATCATGATGGCAGTAGGCCCGCGGAGCGACCGGGGGTCGCTTGGCTCCCTCTGGAGGCCCCGTTCCAGGTTCTGGGGATCCAGCTGTCGGCCGCAGGAAAAGTTACCCGTGTGCAACGACAAATGGCTAATGGACCATGCACTCATAAAGCTCACCTCATGGTCAAACAAGCACACCTCACTTTTTGGCAGGGCCCTGGTTATCAACAATGTGGCACTGGTGTCACTTCGGTACACGTCCACTATTTGGCCTCTATCCAGCGAAGGCTCCAGATCCCTAAGACAGCAGATTGAACCCTTTTTCTGGTAAGTCAATCAGGAAACTGAGCACGTGATTAGCAAGGTCGCATGGGAGGGGATAGTCCAGCCCAAAACCCAAGGTGGTTTGGGGATCTTTGAGCCTGACACCCAGGCATCTGCCCTGGGCCTACAATGGCTGAAAAGATTAATCTGCACACCAAACCTCCCATAGGAACCCCTGTCACTGGAACAAATAGTAAGACTAGCCCCCCAATCCCAGCCCTCCACACATACCCTTGTTTAGTTGGACAGCGTCTTTTGGGCAGTCCCTAGGCCCTCCTCGCGGCCCGCCGTGCATTCGGACCGTACGGTGGCCCGTGCGGATTTTAGAAAGACAACTTATCAATTGATCAAAGATTGGTGGCGGCTTCCTCTTCCGGATAGACCACCGCCCAGTAGGTGGGAGGAGGTTCTCCGCCAACCCTTATTCGGCAATCGCTGGATAACGGATCGACAAGGGAGAGCATTTTCAGGCTCGGGGAAACCATGGGACTCTTGGATCAGGATGGGAATCCGCAAGGTGGAACACATATGGGACAGCGCACACAATGACTGGATAACAAAAGCCCATCTCATAGGTTAATTGCCACACTGCCACCGGATTGGAGAGAATGTTACATACTCGTGATTTTATCAACGAGTATGGGGCAGAACCAAAGATCAACCAATATAGGATGAGTATGTGTGCAACGGAAGTCTGAGAAGTGGACTGACTCATATAGACTGACTCACATAGATATCACTCCACACACATACAATTGTGAGATGGTGGGGTCTGAGCCATACATAGACGATGCTCAGCCCCGTACACGCATACACAGATGAAGGTGGGAGGAGAGACCAAGGAGGTGGGAGATGTAGGTAGCACCAGATGTCACCGAGATAGAAACCAGTAGGTCACCGATATGGTAACCCAAAATGTCATCGAACAAGATCAAAATGTCGAGGACAATAAGTCACCAATGTCGGAGATACAGAGTCCTAATGTAACCGGTGTCCAATCTGTGATGCAGCCGAGTATCATCCCCGACAATCTCCAAGTCTCGAAC